ACCATATTTTTCTTGAATAAAATGAATCACTGATCTCAACCATACGCATTCCCTACTTGCTTCATGAATAGCTATTATCTCAGCATGATTTGAAGAGGTAGCAACAATTGACTGCTTTGTGGAGCGCCATGATATGACAGTACCTACACATGCAAACACGTACCCGGTTTGAGATCGAGCTTTATAGGGATCAGATAAATAACTTGCATCTGCATAACCAACAAGATCTGCACTACCTTTGTTAGCATAAAACAAACCCATATCAAGAGTTCCCTTTAAATATCGCAAAATATGCTTAATCTCATTCCAATGTCTCCGAGTAGGAGAAGAGTTATACCTTGCTAGTAAATTAATAGAAAATGCTATGTCAGGCCTTGTAGTATTAGCGAGATACATAAGTGCACCAATTGCACTGAGATAGGGTGTTTCAGGACCAAGGAGTTCCTCATCCTCTTCTAGAGGTCGGAACGGGTCCTTATTCACTTTAAGTGATCAAACAACTATTGGTGTACTCAATGGGTGCGCTTTGTCCATGTAAAAGCGTTTTAAGACCCTTTCTGTATAGGCAGATTGATACATAAAGATCCCTTTTGCTAAATGTTCAATTTGCAGTCCAAGACAAAGTTTTGTTTTTTCAAGATCTTTCATCTCAAATTCTTTCTTAAGATATTCAGTTACCTTTTGGAGCTCTTCTGAAGTTCCATCAAGATTTATGTCATCAACATAAACAACAAGTATAACAAATTCTTATGCCATTTTCTTTATAAAAATACATAGACAAATAACATCATTTATGTAACCCTCTTTCAGTAAATATTCACTAAGGCGATTATACCACATGCGCCCAAATTACTTTAAACCGTATAAAGATCTTTGTAATCTGATTGAATACATTTTCGGAGATTTCGAATATGCTTCAGGCATTTTAAATCCTTCAGGGATTTTCATGTAAATCTCATTATCAAGTGACATCTACGGATAAGCTGTAACCATATTCATCATCTGTATTTCAAGTCTTTCACGTAAGGCTAAACTGATGAGATATCGAAATGTTATGGCATCCATAACGGGTGAATATGTTTCTTCATAATCGACTCCGGGTCGTTGTGAGAATCCTTGTGCGACAAGGCGAGCCTTGTATCTTTTAACTTCATTTTGGTCATTCCTTTTTAACACAAAAATCCATTTATGACCAACTGGTTTTATACCAACAGGTGATTGGACTACTGGTCCGAATACCTCTCTTTTAGTAAGTGCGTTCAATTCAGATTGAATTGCCCCTTGTCATTTTGGCCACTCAGATATTTGTTGACATTCTTCGACAGATCGGGGTTCACAATCCTCACTATCTTGCATAATAATAAGTGCAACATTACAAGCAAAAATATTATCCACCACTATTTCAGATCGATTTGAATTAATCACATCTCTAGTAGAACTTATTAAAAGTTCCTCGCTCACTTGAGTCTCAGGTTCAATGATTTCTTGAGGAATCTCAGAACTAATTAGATCTTGGGTATGTTCAGGAGATACCTTCATAATATCATTTTGATCATTTGTCGATTTTCTTTTTCTAGGATTTTGATCCTTAGAACCCAAAGGCCTACCACGCTTCAAGCGTGCTTTAGGTTCACTAGCTCTCATGCTTGTAGATGGTCCTGCTGGGACATCAATTTGGATAGGCACATTCTCTACAGGGATATGCGACTTTGTTATCCTTTTCAAATCAGTAAATGCGTCTGGCATTTGATTTGCTATATTTTTGTAAATGGATGATCTTCTGGACCTCCTGATTACATATAGGGGTATGTGGATCAAAGTGAGATAATGATGAAACTTTTCACGCAATTTCTCTTTTGATTTCCTTTTTCCCTCCCCCTAATTGTGGGAAATTTGTTTTATCAAATCGACAATCTGCAAATCGAGCAGTAAATAAATCTCCCGTCAATGGTTCAAGATAGTGAATAATAGAGGGTGATTCAAAACCAATATATATTCCTAACCTTCTTTGGGGGCCCATCTTACTGCGCTGTGGTGGTGCTACTGGCACATATACAACACATTCAAAAATTCGTAGATGGGCAATATTTGGTTCATGACCAAAAACTAATTATGACGGAGAATATTTATTATAATGTATTCGTCTGAGACGGATAAGTGATGTTGCGTGCAAGGTAGCATGACCCCAAACAGTAGTGTGCAATTTTATTTTCATAAGTAGTGGTCTTGCTATCAATTGCAGCCGTTTAATAAATGACTCTGCAAGGCAATTTTGAGTATGAACATAAGCTACATGATGTTCAACTTTTATTCCAACTGATAGACAGTAATTATCAAAAACTTGAGATGAGAATTTTTCAGCATTATCAAGGCGAATAGCCTTTATAGGGTAATATGTGAATTGTGCCCTTAATCGAATTATTTGGGCTAATAACTTTGCAAACGCCAGGTTGCGAGATGATAGTAGGCATACACGAGACTATCTTGAAGATGCATCTATTAGGATCATAAAATATCTAAACAGCCCACTTGGTGGGTGAATAGGTCCACATATATCCCCATGTATACTTTCTAAAAAGGCAGGGGACTCAATGCCAACTTTCATTGGTGATGGTCTAGTGATCATTTTACCTTGATAACAAGCATCACAAGAAAATTCATCATTGTAAGAATCTTCAGGTTCTTTAATGGATGCCCACTCGAATTTTCAGTAATTCGTCTCATCATTATTGATACAGGATGGCCCAAACGGCCATGCCAAAGAACAAAAATATTTGAATCAGTAAACTTCTGGTTTACGATAGAGTGTGCTTCAATTGTACTAATCTTTGAATAGTATAAANCCACTCGAATTTTCAATAATTCGTCTCATCATTATTGATCCAGGATGGCCCAAACGACCATGCCAAAGCACAAAAGTATTTGATAGAGTGTGCTTCAAATGTACTAATTTTTGAATAGTATAAACGAGAAGATAAAGTTGGTAACTTTTCTATATTGCATTTCTGGCCAGAAATATTCTTTGTAATACAAAGATATTCCATGCTCATTTCATCTATTGTCTCAACATGATACCCATTTCGGCGGATATCTATAAAACTCAACAAGTTTCTTGGGGACTTGGAGGAGAACAATGCATTGTCGATAATAAGTTTTGTTCCCTTAGACAGAAATACAGTAGCTCTTCCGGAGCCTTCAATCAAACTTATATTACGAGAAATTGTTGAAACATTTGCTTCTTCCTTATGCAAATAAGAAAAGTATTTCCGATCTTTGAATATGGCATGAGTTGTTCCACTATCAATTACACAAATATCTTCATGATTGGTCTTTGATCCAAACATAATTTGAGGATTATCCATATTCTTCAAAATGACATAAACAAAATAAATATGATAGTAAACATCATTTTCAAAGCATAACTTTTATTTATGTACAACAATTACATAACCATACTATCTACTACAAACAACAAAAATTAAAATATTTATATTTCTGCAGATTCACTACCGATCACATGACTTGTTTCTCCTTCTGGGAGTGCAAAATAATCAGTTACATCCAAATGCATGAAGTCTAAATTATCTTCAGAAATAAAATTTGCTTCATCATTTTTCTCTGTCTTCTTCAGGGAGGCTTGATACAGCTCAACCATGTGTTTTGGCGTACGACATGTACGTGACCAGTGCCCTTTTCCTCCACATCTATAGCATGCATTTTCTGGCTTTGCTGCTTGCACCTCTTCATGCTTTTGTTCCTTCCTTTTCCACTGCTGGTGGTGAGTAGGGTTCTTTGGTGCATTATTATTACCATGATTAGAGTTTCTTCCTCTACCACGACCATGACCATGACTGGAGCCACATCCTCTTCCATGCTTAGCTTGGTAGAAGTTCGTCTCATTCACTTCAGAGAATGGACAAGAACCAGTAGGTCGGCTTTCATGGTTTTCATTAATAGCCCATTATGTTGCTCGGCTACAAGAAAATGTGAGATAAATTCAGAATACTTTTTGAATCCCATCTCTTGATATTGCTGTTGCAGGAGCATATTCGAGGCATGAAAAGTAGTGAAAGTTTTTTCCAACATATCATGATCAGTAATATTATCACCACATAGTTTTAATTGGGAAATAATTCTGAACATAGCAGAATTATACTCACTGATAGATTTAAAATCTTGTAGCCTTAGATGAGTCCAATCATAACGTGCCTGTGGAAGAACAACCATCTTCAGGTGGTCATATCTATCTTTTAAATTATTCCACATGACTGAATATTTAACAATAAGATATTCCATTTTCAGGCCCTCATCAAGGTGATGGCGTAGGAATATCATGGCTTTGGCACGGTCTTGGTTTGATGCTTGATTTTTGTCTTTGATGGTGTCTGCTAGACCCATCGCATCAAGATGAATTTCGGCATCAAGCACCCAAGACATGTAGCTTTTGCTCGATATATCCAGGGCTACAAATTCAAGTTTAGAAAGATTTGACATTATTTAGAAAAAAAAAGTTGGTACCTGTGATACTTTCAAAGTATTTGCTCGAGATGACAGAGTCTCGTGCTGATAACGTGTTATAAAATAAAAACTGTAAAGTAAAGACAAGTATAGAGAGAAACTGATATATTATTTAAATTTCAAATTTATGTACATAATGAACTGAAAACTCCTCTATTTATAGAAGAAAGGAAGTAAGGCTTTTCTTTAGCTGCTTCCAAATTGTCTATTTAATAAGAAGCTGCTACAAATCATTTCATTGAGCTGCTTGCAACCTGCATGCATTAGCTGGTTGTAGATAAAATTAAACAGAGTACTAAATGGATAATCTTATTTATAACGGAGTAATAAATGAACATACACTCTGTAATTATTTTCGTAACAATTACAAAATTTAAGAGCTTTTTAGCAGTAGAACTTAAATATCATCTCTTTGAGGCGAAATAGCAGTTCTCCTCTCTATCGTGCTCGCATACAGGTAAAACATTTCCCTTTCACCCCACAATTTCATCCGGTTGCATTTAGATCTGTATGTGATAATTCTTTTCGCTATATGTCCGTGCTGTTCTATTTTTTCGTATTCGTTTTTTGGTCGACCCGGTTTAAGATCCAAGCAGAAATCCCAGATCTAGTTAGGCATGTATTTTTCGATTTGTTTTGATATTCCCAATTGACGTACTTTTGCCCAAAGATATCGTTTTTACCTCTTCTGTTCTTATGTGTCTATGTGTAGCCTGGAATTCGGCGATCCGCGAATTGGTTGTTTGACACATCTTATTGAACATGGAGAAGCTCAGGGAACCCCAGTTTGGTTTTGGGGAGCCCCTTTGTTTGCCCCTCCCTGAGCAATTTATTGTATCTTGGTGTTAATTGATTAAGTGCTTCTCTTTGAATGTTCTTTATATATATATTTTTTTGAGATGGAATCTTTATAAATGTATATCTATCTGTCTATATCGTAAACTATCGAGTACCGGTCTAGTTAGTACTGGCAAGATGAGATGCTCATGTAAGCCTGGAATTTAAGGGACGCTGGCATCTGCTGCAAAAAGAATGTTACTTAAATGTTGCCCTAGGCTCATTCTCTTATGCCATTATATTGTCCTCAGACAAAAGAACCTTCTTTTAGCACCCAAGGGTGTGGCCTAATGGTCAATGAAGTGGGTGAGAACCATGAGATTCCAAGTTCAAATCTCATTTGACGCAAAAACACTAGGTGATTTCTTCATACCTGTCCAAGCCTTGGTGGACATAGTTACCCGATACATGTTATTGGTGGGTGGTGACAGGTATTCCGTGGAATTAGTCGAGGTCCGCGCAAGCTGGCCCAGGCACCACGGTTATAAAAAAAAGAAAACCTTTTTCTTCTTTTAGCATAGTTTGGGAAGCTATGGGAAATACTCCCTAATAGATCCAGCAGAACAGTACAAATAATTATCCATATCTTGTACTTGCATATCGGTTGATTGGTGCGTAATCTGATTTATATTTTGGTTAATCTGTTTTTGAGTTAGATTCTCTGCTGCCTCAAATTATGGCTATTGAAAGTGACATTTCACCTATGTAATCTTCTCAAAACCCCTATCCTATCTTATTCAACATATAACATGTCCCGAGATAAACCATTTGTCTTTTCTTCGTGCTGCCTGCGTTTATAACACATGAAGGCTTCTCCTTTATCTTCTTCTCTGGTATACTGAAAATTGAAATGAACAAGCTTAAAACCATGGCACGAGAAAGCTCTTATTTTCTCTCTAAAGAATGGATCTGCAAATATTAATTCACCTGAGTGTTCTTATTTACGATGTATATTTTAGTTTGTATTGTTGCTTGAGTTGCATTTCTATTTATAGGCTTTGTAACTGACTTTGGTTGAAGAATCTCTTATTTTCGTAGCCAAATAAGGGTGGGGGAAGAGAACGCTCTTTAAAATTTTATCTTTCTAACGGATATATATACTAAAATTGGATAATGCAGGAGCTTTGAGATATCAGTAGCGGCAAGGGAAAATGCCAGCACAGAAGATTGAAACTGGTCACAATGACATAGTTCACGATGTTACTATGGACTATTATGGAAAACGTGTGGCTACAGCATCTTCTGATACCACCATAAAAATAACTGGTGTGAGCAACAATGCTGCTTCACAACACCTTGCTACTTTGAGTGGTCATACTGGTCCTGTTTGGCAGGCTGCCTGGGCTCACCCCAAATTTGGCTCAATCCTTGCTTCCTGCTCCTACGATGGTAAGGTAATAATCTGGAAGGAAGGCAATCAGAATGAGTGGACGCAAGCTCATGTTTTTAGTGACCACAAATCATCAGTTAACTCCATTTCATGGGCTCCTCATGAACTTGGGCTTTGCTTGGCTTGTGGTTCTTCTGATGGTAATATCTCAGTGCACACTGCTAGGTCAGATGGTGGTTGGGACACTACGAGAATAGACCAAGCTCATCCAGTTGGGGTAACATCAGTTTCATGGGCACCATCAATGGCTCCTGGCGCTTTAGTTGGTTCAGGTGCGCTTGAACCTGTTCAAAAGCTGGCATCTGGTGGATGTGATAACACCGTGAAGGTTTGGAAGTTATATAATGGCATTTGGAAGATGGATTGCTTCCCTGCACTTCAGATGCACACTAACTGGGTGAGGGATGTAGCCTGGGCACCAAACTTGGGACTACCAAAGTCAACAATTGCTAGTGCTTCAGAGGATGGTACAGTTGTCATATGGACTGTGGCAAAGGAGGGAGATCAGTGGGAGGGCAAGGTTCTTAAAGACTTCAAGACTCCTGTTTGGAGGGTCTCATGGTCTCTAACCGGAAACTTGTTAGCTGTTGCCGCTGGGGATAACAATGTCACATTGTGGAAAGAAGCTGTTGACGGGGAGTGGCAACAGGCCAGCACTGTTGACCAATAGAATTGGAACTTCTAAGTAATAGAATTTTTAAGTTTTTGTTTCTTTCTACCATTCAGGCATCTTTCCTAGCTGAGCGAGTTAGCATTTTAATTGAGGACTCTCTTTATTTACTTTGATTTGATTCTTCTCCTTTTATTCAGTATGCCTGATGATTTGTTTCACTTAAGCTAGAGGAGTTGAAATTGAAGCTCATATACCTCTTTCTCGTCTGTCATGTCCTGTATTGCCTTTGTTATGTTTCATTTTGAATACATTTCTGAAGTTATTTTTGTTCTTAATGCCCCTTTTTGATTAACTTCGTATTTACTGCACCGTGAAATTGCCATTTCCACTTCCCCCCGGAATTTAAATTGTTAGGAAAGAAATATGAAAAACTCGTACTTTCATCTTTTTTACTAGTAGCGACTAGCGACACAACATGATACTCTTGGGTTTGTCTGGGTTGGATTATATTTGTGTACCGTTAGAATTAACTAACTAGAAATTTATACGTGATACCTAAAAGATTTAAGTTTACTACCATTTTTTCCTATTAACTTCATATATTTTCTTCATCTAATAATATTACATCAATATTTTTCTTGCCATCAATCTGTGGATTTTATTTAAGGGTGTCCATTTTGACCTATAATAGTGCAATGCCCTCAAATAGCCAGACTTGGTCTAAAGGTGTTGATCCATATCTTAATTCAACTAAATCCAAGTAAGTCAAACGCTTAACCTATCTTAATTCCACTAAATCCAAGTAAAATTTTGACTGATTGGATCTATTTATTGAATTAACATATTTAAACTTGTCCGGGTTGCAGTTAGGTGAGCTTTGGTTTATGGCTTATGACATGTTGCTCCGTCTATCTTGAGATAAACAAAGGCTTGTTGACTCAGAGGCGTTTTAATCCATTCATTTGACAGTGTTAGACAATAATGAGAGATTTTAAATTCTATGTATGGCCAAGAAATTCTTATACCATCACGTTATGTTTATTCATAGAAAAAGTAATTTATTTTATTTTTAAGATTATAAATATCATATTTTAAATATATTTACATATAAATAGTCCTTGATTAATTGGTTGAGTCGCATGCTGGGCTACCCTTGTGTTTAGAGTGAAATAAGATAATTATATTACTCCTTCTATCGCATATTATGTGTCGTGTTTCTTTTTTACACGACCCTTCAAAAATATTAATTAGGAAAGGGATTGGATTATTCTACCCTTATTTATGTCTTAAGATATAATTTTTATTCAATGAATATTTATTCTATTTATGTGTTATCTTCATCTTTAAGAACAATTATTACTAAGGGTAAAAAAGGAAAAAAATAATTAATTTTATCTTGAACTTTTAAAATAATAAATAATTTGAGATAACTATTTTTAGTAACCAATATGAAATGGAGGAGTACATCCTAAGATTAGAGTAAAATAATTAAGGTATATTATTAATTGTACTTCCTAATGCCCGCGAAATCATTTCCCTCTTCCTTGAGCTTTAGCGGTTTATCTCGGAACTATTCATTGCCCTCTCATTTCTATTGATGCTTAACTTTTTTGAAAACAGGGAAACCTAGAAATGTCATCGTCAGTCAATCCGGAAGAAGCCCAATGGAAAAACCCTAACATTTACAGCCGCAAGGAAAAATCCCTCGGTCTACTTTGCTCCAAGTAATCTCTCTTCTCTCCTTTCTTTTTTGTATGCGTGAGATGCTTAGGTAAGTGTATCTACACTACAACGCGATCTTAGAACGAGACGATTATGTATCATGCATAGCAAGTATAGTAGTCGTGTAAGTGATAAATTGATGAGAGAATGTTGATCCCCGCGAGGATTATTATTAGGATTTAAACTTAAATGATTTGACTGTTATGTTAATTTTGAGATATTGAATTATGGATGAGGAGCAGAATAAATTCAATAAGGAAAACAAAGAAAACTCCCTAAGAAGAAACGTGTACAGTCGAGAAGAAACTCAGTGAGAACTTATGTTAGGAGATAGAATCACCGGATGCCCATCTAATCTAGAGTTTGAACAAATTTGATTTCCACCTGAGATACAACATCCCTTTTCAGTTTTATTTTATAACCGTGGTGTCCGACTAATTCCACAGTATACTCCCAGATGGGAAGAAATCACCTAGTATTTTTTGCCTCCGCTGGATTCGAACGTGGGACCTCATGGTTATAAACCCACTTCATTGAGCACAAGGCCACACCCTTTAGTTAACTGCCCTTCTCAGTTAAATTTGTTTATCTTAACATCACTAATCCCAACTGTCTCGTTCGACAAAGGCTTAAGATTAGCTTTATTAAAGATGCAATAAGGTTTTGGAATGCTTCCATGGGACATGTGATTCCTAAAATATCTAATTCTCTTTCCTATAGATTGGCTATCCCAATTATTCATACTATGGTGGCTCTCTTAAAGCACTAATTATGTCTAATTGGAAGGCGATGAGATCCAGGTGTCTTAATCCATACCACCTACTCTTTTGATGAAGTAATGCAAATGTCTGCACGACTAATTACAATTGTTTCTCTTTGGTTAATTGCCTAAATCAGTTGAGCGTATAATTATTCTCGAATATAAAACTACCTAATCAATCTAAAGTATCTCTTCAGTCAACCAAAACTAAACATATTTGGCATAATGATGCTTCATAATGACTTGTGTAAAACTTGGAATTAAATACAATCACCATGCAAGCAAATTGAATTCGAATTAATTACATAAACATTAGTTTCATACACTCCTAACTCAAAAGATCTACTCCATAAAGAATTAAACAAAACCAAGAGAAGTTTACTAGATATTACCATGATAATGAAAGAAAACTAATGGGAAGAAAATCACATGGATTGAGAATGAAGACTTGACCCTTTCTTCGTTCGTTTTATCCTCTTTGGGAGCTTCCTAAAGGGTTTCTCTTCAACTTGAAGCTCTAAATATGGTCTATGACCTCCTTGGAGTCACTTTCTATCAGAACCTTTCATGTCAAATTTAATAGAATGCAATAAAGATGTTTCCTGTAGTGAATTAGGACTTCTCGCAGCCTTAATATGTTGGAGGGACACAATAATGGATGGTTTTCTAGCACTGCGGCTCCGAGGCACTATTTTGCAAATCTAGTACATTGGCCATGTCTCTTTGTAGAATATCAGAATTCAAATTGTTTTACAGCGCTGGAATCTAGACTTAATGGGCTACCATATTCCAAAAATCATGGCTCAGCTTGTTGGAATTTTTTCAATATCAATTGTTGAAGTTGAGAGATTATCTGGTATAATGATAGTATATTTTTTGCCAAAACTATTTTGTTTCCTTTCTCCCGCAAAATTAGGTAGAGATGTATGGAAGAAACCAATGAAATGCCTTAAAAACATAGAAAAACTTATGCCAAAAATCTGGATTATATCAATATAAAAACAACCGTATCATTTCTATCACTACTTTCTTGACCTGATAAGTTTTGTACTATTCAGTTTCTTGAAGCTGTGTGATCGGGAAGGAGTGGACTCCATTGGATTGGACAATGCTGCCGATCAATTAGGTCTTTTCCCTGTCTTCTCATCTTTCAATCCTCACATTATCTTTCCAACTGTGTCAACACAAATATGTAGATTTCTTCTTGCATGTGTTCAAACAGAATCTTGTTGTGGTTGTAGGTGTCGAGAGGCGTCGCATTTATGATATTGTCAATATTTTGGAAAGTGTTGGGGTAATTCTTTATCTTTTCGTCTTCCTCTCATAAATTTATATGATTGAATGACTAAGACAGTTTATTTCAGGTTTTGTCACGAAAAGCTAAGAATCAGTATAAATGGAATGGGTTTAGTGCAATTCCTAAAGCTGTAGATTTGCTTAAGGTAGTTTTCTTTTTGATAAGTAGATGTGCGTAATGTAGTTGATATCCATTTTCCTTGTCTCATATGGACGTTTCCTTGGAATTTAATATTTTTTTGCTTATTTTGTAGAAAGAAGGACTAAAAGATCAGTCCTCTGTCTCCTCCACTAGCCACAATGTTGCAAATGTATGTACACCATGCCTCTTTCTTCTTTCACCCTTCCCCACACCAAGGCATCTATATAGGGTGATTTGGAGTGGGACTGTTAGCAGTAACAGGGTTGAGTAATAGCTCAGTTGTAGATACTCTCCAATTAGTTCACTCAATTAGTTACTTTAAATTTCTCAGCGATTGCATCGTCTTCTTATCATGATATAACAGAGAGCACTTCTTCTACTAGGTAATAGCTTGTAGTCATTCAGATCTCAAGGAAAAAGGGCAAGGCAAGACTTCTGGATCACATAAAATTGGTGAGTTTCTTATCTTTAGGTGTGATGGTTGTGATTTTTGAATGTGTTCAATTCTTGATTTTTTTTCCAGTTGAGGGCATTATTCTAATATTCGGAAGAACTGCTGGATATCAATATATCACATTTGGTATTTAGTGAGACTAACTTGATGTCTGATTGTGTAGACAACCGGAAGGAGAAGTCTTTGATGATTCTTGCCCAAAATTTTCTAAAGCTTTTCCACTGTTCTGATGTAAGTGGAGCACATAGATCTTCTGACTAGTTGCCAACTACAAGTCAGCTAATGCCTTACCTTCTTTAGGTTGACTTGATCTCTCTTGATAAGGCTGCATCAGCTTTGCTTGGTGATATGCACGATCCCATGGCTATGAAGAGTAATTCATATTCTTGTTATGTTGCTATCTTTGACTTATGGTGAAAAACTTGATAGGCAAGTTGTTACTCTCTCATGAATATTTTGCAGCTAAGACCAGACGCTTGTATGACATTGCAAATGTTTTTGTGTCCATGAATCTCATTGAGAAGGTTAGTTATTGAATTTGACTGATCAGTAACTGAATATAATCAAAATAGTGAAGTAGAGAATTATTTCTTTTGATATTGATCTTTGCAATACATATGTAGATACGTAGTCCAGATAATGGAAAACCAGCATTTAGGTGGATAGCCTGGAAAGAAAATCCCAGGACTGGGTCCCCTGCTACTTCTAAATCAGATGATTCAAAGAGTAGAACATTTGGGGCAGAGATCACAAATACAATTTCAAAAAGATGCAGGGCTGATTCTTCATCTGATCTAGTGTCAAATGGGCAGGTAAAGAGGTTGAAAGTTGCAAAAGATGATGAATTGAAAGATAAAAATCAGGAGATGTCAACAGAGCGACTTAATGGACATGGTACAATGGATTTTGTATTTGGCCCTTTTGGTCCAGCAAGTCTGCCCAAAGCAGGAGTTTCTGGAAAAGAAAATTTGAAACAGACACAGAATTGGGAGGATCTAGCTTCTACATATCGCCCTCAGTATCAGAATAAGGGTACTTTCTAAAATCTCATTTGGAAAAGTTAAAGCACCTAGTATTCTACCCATTCCAAGTGAGTAGGGGTGAGACCTATTTTCTCATATATGTTGGTCCAGAAGTTAACTCAGTTCGCAGGCTCCTCATATCAAGGCAGGGTCTTGGGTTTGATCCTGTTTCTGCTCCCCTCTCCCCTACTTCTCCTCTTGAACGAAAGGGAAAAAAAAAAGAACGGAAAAAATTATTCATACACTTAGGCATGCCACTTTTACTGTTTTTGGCCTCTTTTCTGAAAAAACCGTCTTTAACATCTTAATCCACGAGATATTTATAACTAGCAGCTAATCATTAAAGATTTTTAGTAAGTAGACTTCATAATGTTGGGGAACGTATAAGAAATGCCACAAACAAAGAGAAGAAACAAGAAAATGCTACCTTTTATCGCTAAGGCTTTTGCTTTTCTGAAGATTATACTCCAATTTGCTTGATGCTATTTTTCCTGTTTTATATTATATACTTGCCAATTAATTATTTAGCATGACAATTTTGTGCGCCCGACAGTGCTCTTGAAAAGATTTCTAGGTGTCAACTGCTTCTGCCATTTTAAATACTTATGATAGATCACATTTCTCAAATTTAATTTATCCAATTTCTAGCACCCAATTTAGCTACTACTAGAGTAAAATGTGTTTTTTTGTTCATGTGAACCTGTGTTTATATCCCGTGTAGTTATTGCCTTAATGAAGAGGTTGAAATGTTTCCATTTGCCAAATGTTACAGCTGCAAGTGAGCTTTTTGCTCATTATGTTGAGGCATGGGAGTCGTGGCAGGTTGAAGCTGCCAATGAGCTGCACAAACAACATCTGAATTAATGCAATCTTGGATCTCTTTTATTTCAGGTGGCATCGAACACATTCAGCAGGAATATATCTGATGCTGTTACTCTCAGTTTCACTTGAGAGATTAGTGGTTATTGGTTGATTATCTCCTCGACACATCTATCAGTTGAGTATGCAGCATATTATCAGTTTGTGATATCCACACCCTGATGCTAGTTCTGTTCGGTGCTATTGTAGTTCCCAGTTTTATCTGGATGAGTTTCCACTTGCAAGGGCTGGAGCTTACTAGGTTGTAAAAGACAAATACCTGATGATGTATCTGTGTTCGAGTTCCCTCACTCCTATTCAAACCTCTTGAAGCTTTCCAAACTGAAGTTGATACTTCTATTTAAATTTCATTGAGCTAAGTCGACTGTGTTGTAAATAGTATGCAGACATCTTAAATCTTTGCTTGTTATCTCACTTTGGAAGGAATGTACATCAGCAATTGAAATTTTGTTGCATTTCATTGCAAGAGTGGAAGGCCGAAAAACTGTTTCTTCTGACAATATGCACTATGTTGGCCAACTTATATTTGATATGGAGATTCAAGTTGAGACGGGATTTGCCAAGAGTCATTCCTTGAGCTTAAACGAGCTTCTCATACATGCACATTTTGCAGAATGGGTATACCTTTCAAGTTACATTATTTGCAACCTTTAAGTGAGTTTGACAGATTATCGCCCTGGTTAACGAGTTCAAGGTCCGTGATCTTGGTCATATTTCTGGATATACTTATGTACAAGCACAAATTATGTTAATTCATTCAATACATAGACTTGTGGTCATTCATAAATTTATCCCAAGTGCTTCATTTGAACTCTTGATGCGGTAACTGGTAGCACACTTTGATCAACACCAGAATGTCTAAAGAGCCAAATCCAAAATAATGCTATTCATTCATGATAGGACATGAACAATTTTCCAGAAATAAAAAAACAACTGACAAATAGTATATGCAAAGATGTGCCCTGTTACGAGGGAGGAACTTGTATATGAAATTACATTTATTTTTCTTTCAATATTTTTAGGTCCAAAACAGGCCATAAAAATGCATTTCAAGTTATCTTTTTCAATGGAAAAGACAAAGAATAATGATGTTAATCCATGTCAAACTTCACTTTGGATCGCTAAAGAAGCCGTTGATAGATGGCATAATCTCCGGAGACTTGTTTCGGACAAACTTCCTAAGAGCATGCTCAGCATATTTCTCCCCTTCTGAAAAATTGTCCAGTACCCCTGCTGCCCTGTTTTCCTTGGTCACCCTGAATTTTTTGCAAACACGAAGATATCAGTTAAACTAAGTACTGACTGTTAAATGAAAAATTAATGCATTTTTTCACTGTTTACTTTCTTTTTCGTTGGGGGTTGTAGTAACAGAGCTACATGTCGGTAGAGGGTTCAACTGACTCCTTTATATCGAAAAACAGTATCGTGCAAATAGGGTACAAATATTCTAAAAAATAGATAAATTGGGAATCCCCTAGGCCTTGACACAAGAGAAGCTTCCAATATAGTGGCAAAAGTGGCTCAACAATTAATTTACACTGCACGTTCTAATCTCAGGTGTGACATTCATACTTTTTATAGTCTCCTTCACTGTACCAGACTCTGTCACGGGTAGAAAGATGCAATCTAGTACAACACAACTTAAAGTTGGGTACTTTTCATTGCGTAGATGTCATACCAGTTGGTCAACAGATTTAATTTCTACTACCAACAAACAAAAAAATTGAACCAAAAAGGCAATATCCATTGAGAAGACCAATTTTACCAGGTTTTCCTTCTTCCTTTTCAAGGTCTCACAAAAGAGAGATTTGTAACCTCAATTGATGCTCTAGAAGTCCTACCAGTTACATTCTAGAGCCTTTCCTTATTTATCCTATAGTTGAAAATTGTTCAAGACACTTAAGCTAAGCGCAATTAAAGTGTGGGCTTTAGTTAAAAAAAGGCGCAACGAAGAAAAAAATAAAAACATATATGTAATGCAAGAAAGCACATAATGATTTCCTCAAAAATTAATATATCTTTTCACCAATCATATTTAGTGTTTTGTACCGCTTTATTAAAAATAGAACTTATAGGCAATGAGGCGCACACCTGAAGCGCAGCCTAAGTGAGGCGAAGCGCATACCCGGAGCTTTTTTGAGCTTCAGGGCTTAAGTGCGCCTCAAATGAGCCTTTGACAACACTGACGTAGGGCTCTTTTGGTATTATTAATTATGTGATTAAATTTGAGAAGAGTTTATCCCACGTTTAGTTGGAATAAAATCGCGGTATAACTAGTCTCGGAATAACTTGTTATTTTTATCCCTACGGGAGGGAGGGTGGGATAATAATGCCAGGATTATTAATCATGAGATAACTTGTTTCCCAACAAAACCGACCCCTTTGGGTTAGTTTAAAACAAGTAACTTTGGCTCGGGCATTGTATTAGTATTTGTTTAAGAAGCCACTAAATAAATACAAATAATAAATCTTGAACCCAGTAAATCAAATCCTGAATCCCCAAATTGATCACTCAACTAAGCCTGAACTCTAAGCTATTTGGATGCCGGGTCATACGAAATCTCTATATTCATGTCCGATCTAACTAGGCGGACCTAATTTATTCCAATACTAATAAATAACTCCAACACTGACATAGAAGTCTTTGAACAGATAAAAAAAAGTCTAGCAAACACTGGATCTAAAATGATAATTTATCAATCATACTCTTTATTTACTTATCCAATTGAGGTTGAATGAATCATATATACAACAAATTAGACAAGGCATAAACGAAAATATATAAAGAGTGAACAGAGGATAGAAGTCTTAGAAGGGGTACCTGACTTCAGGGTTGCCGCAGATATTACGAACCAATTGCATTCCACAGATCCCTACAGCAACGCCTACGGCTGCAAAAAGTGGATACACCTGTGCCACCATAAAAATAACATCTTCAGTAATTGAGATCTGATCATAAATTAATAGCAAACCCGAAAACAAAAATCCCCAAATTGATCCATAAACAAAATCGTCGATTTTCAGGGCAAATGAGAAGAAAAAAATCAAGTATTTGTAAGGAGAAAAAACAGACCTCGGGCCTCAGCCAACGGTTAAGGGTGGAAGAAGCCATAGAAAAACGGGGAAGCAGAAGAAAATGCTAACTTTACAGAAGACTATTTCGATGATGACCTAAACCTGTTAATTTGGTCCTCTCCCGTATTTATATTCTCTCGGATAGGACTTCCTCATTGGCTGCAATTTGTAATTTATTTCAATTTACGAAAAGGCCCATTAACTTTTAACATATTGAGCTTTAATTTGGATGGAAAAAAAAAACTGTAATTTGTAATTTTTTTTTAATTATCTGAACTTGAAAGTTTCTAAAAAAGGTCACTCTAGCAATTAAATAAAAATAAAAGTGCCTCTAGCAACAAAAGCGTTAATTAACAATATAAAGTTATTAAATGCAGACGATTGGACCGACCATAAAAAAAATTCCAACTGGGTGGCTCTGCAACTTTCAAAAGCGTCGTGGTGCATGAACTATATATGGCACAACTTATTTGACCATTTGCTCGTGCCTCTAGATATGAATAACAATTGATTCTGATTTTTCTCCTTTGGACTACTCTAAGGGGTCGTTTGGTCAAGAAACAAGTTATCTCATATTAAATATTTCGGGATTAATTATTTCACTCTTTATTTCATGGGGATAAAAAATACTATAATCCCGGAATAACTAATTTTGTGATTAGTTATACTATTATTTTATCTCAATAGGAACTAGTCCCGGGATAAACTCATCTCAAATTTAATCCCAAAATTAATTCTCCCTATCCCTCTAACCAAACGAGCCCTAAAGAAACACGTGTCTTTAAAATTTGGCAAAATACACAGGAACTACCATAAGACGTAAAGTTACCCAATCTCAGTCCGGCCTAGATATACAGAGCGGAAAAAAGGTCAAAATTATCCTCGAACTATCGAAAATAGCTCAAATATACCCTCCGTTTGTTTTTGGTACCAAATTTGTCCTCGCCGTCTAAAAAATAGACCATTATTGCCCTAAAAGCTAACGGCTGCCACATCATCTTTTGGACATACTTAAATATTACGAAAAAGGGTCAAAATTACCCTCAAACTATCGAAAATAGCTCAAATATACCCTCCGTTTGTTTTTGGTACCAAATTTGTCCTCGCCGTCTAAAAAATAGACCATTATTGCCCTAAAAGCTAACGGCTGCCACATCATCTTTTGGACATACTTAAATATTACGAAAAAGGGTCAAAATTACCCTCAAACTATCGAAAATAGCTCAATTATATCCTTCATTTTTGTGTTTGGTACCAAATATGTCCTTAACGTCTAAAAATTGGACCATTGCTGCCCTAAAAACTAACGGTCGTCGCATAAGATCATGTGAACAACAAAAGTCTATCTCCAACAGACGGTCCTCCATCTTGACAAAAGCCCCAACGGATAAAATTTCTTTCTCTATTTTATGCGAGAGGTTGCTGTATTTCTCGTGAAGGCGCAGTGAAGCACTACAGGTGGCCTGCTAGCTAGGCCAGTGAGGAGGGGAAGGATTAGGTGGTATCTAAAAAATGTATCTGTTTATGAGGTTTTGGGTCTAGGTCTTATTTGCGGTCGGTCTTCTTTTCTTTTCTGTTGATGAAGGCTGGAAGTGGAAGGGTATAGTATTTTAGAAGATAATTTCATTCTAATGGTTTTCGAGTTTTTTATGAGAGTTGTTTTTAAAAGGATATATCTTTAAAACTAATTTGTGACCTTTTTGAAATATGAGCTTGGATAACTAGCCATAGGATTACTGTAATATACAACTTTTGTTGTTCTCCACTATTTTTGTGATAAGATTTATGATTTTAAGTGATAAAAGTTGGTAATTTATTTATTGTATAGTATATTGATTTTTTAATTTTATAGATTTGTGAATCTTAATAATAGCCCAACTAAATTTCACATAATAAGATTGGTGTAGCTTTAATTATTTGGAAGGAGCAACACTTCGATGAGTCAACGAATGAAAATGGAGAAAGAAATTTTATCCGTGGGGGCTTTTGTCAAGATGGAGGACCGTGTGTTAGAGATAGACTTTTGTTGTTCACATGAGCTTATGTGACGACCGTTAGTTTTTAGGACAGTAATGGTCTAATTTTTAGACGTCAAGGACATATTTGGTACCAAACACAAAACGAAGGATCTAGTTGAGCTATTTTTGATAGTTTAAGGGCAATTTTGACCCTTTTTCCGTAATATTTAAGTATGTCCAAAAGCTGATGTGGCAGCCGTTAGTTTTTAGGGCAATAATGATCTAATTTTTAGACGGCAAAAACAAATTTGATACCAAAAACAAACGAAGGGTATATTTAAGCTATTTTCGATAGTTCGAGGATAATTTTGACCATTTTTCGTATACAGAATTGTCTTGTGCCATATATATTGAGATTGTTCCGGAGACATAGCCCAAGCCCATTAAAAGAAAGCAACTTAAGTGAT